TTGCTGCGGTCGCGACGGGACACTGGAGAATATTCCTGACGTATTTTTTGCGCGTCCAAGACGGTCGGGTGACGTTTTTTGTGCCGAAGTTTTTTGTCGTTCCAATCCGCAGAGTGAGTCCGAGGATTTTGATATTGCAGGCAAAGGATAGGATAATTTTGATTTTGAATCCCTCCGCAACTTGATGAATATGAGCCGGATCGGTGTACCGGTCCCTGTGTGCCAACATTCCTGAAAGCGTTAGAGATTCGGTGTCCGTTGACTTGTTGCGTTGCCCGCCGCATCCCCGTTCGTTGCTGCTTGAAGATGACGCAGGGTGAGGAATATCGTTGTCCTCCGCCGGTGCTCGCTGTCTGCAGTCGGATATCTGAGCACTCGGCTGCGGCTGAGATCGCTCTCAAATTCTTCCAGTCGAGCGCCACCAGTATAGGATGCATCCTGGGTAAAGATGGAGAATGAGAAGAGTTCAGCGTGGGGTGATTCTTCTATCCGGCCGCTTGAGTCGCGTGTCGCCCCACAAACGCTCCACAGCGCGTTTGTTTTCACACTCTAGAGCGCGGACGCTCGAGTCAAGAAACTGCCTGTTTTCGATATCATTTCACATCAAACACTTGCCCCCAGCCGGGAAAAGATCCGGGCTCCGAAAATTCGACTCCCGGGTCAGGGTCTCCGGATGGTACAAAACAATTATGAGGGCATCCCTTTTTCATTGACTCGTGTTTCCCCTGAACGGGTAAAACCGCTCAGGTTTCGGCTCTCCCTCGTGATGCCATTGCTACATAGCCCTTCGAAAACCGGACGGGCTTGAGAGGGCCTCGTTCCGACTATCGTCAATGCTTTCTCGCGCTTGCGAGCGCGCGACCAGGGGAGGACATCCGGAGAGGGGGGTCGGATATTCAAAAATGCTGTCGTAAAAAAACCTTTTAGCGCCGCTTTCCTTTTTAAAGGGCCATATTCCCCGCTCACAGAGAGCGAACTGATTGACTCATACTCGACTCGACGGACGTCCTAGAGAATTTCACGATTTCCAGTGCTCTTTGAAAAAGAGCGACCGAAGGCTGTTTCGTCGTCCCTGACCTTGATTTTCGCGAGAGGCTGCAAAGTCTCAGAACTCTGCGAATTCGGTTTCACAGTGCATCGGGTGGGATCCCCTGCTGGTTGGACGGGGTATCTCGATTGTGAGAGACCATTCACGACAAAGAAATAGGCCATCAGAGTATTCAAATTGTTGAGCTTCTAGCAGTGTTTGGATGGCTGATCTGATTTTTCCCACGATTAAGACGGATCGGGAGCCTCCCCACTTTGCAGCCGAGCGAGCCGGAGCAGATCGACGCGAGCATCTCTGTGGACGGAAGATAGATGCGCGCTGTACGGGGGGATCACCGATACATCGGTGTCGAGCTTCAAGTGTGAACGAATGAATGCTCACTCGCCAATTTGTTCGCTCCGAGAGTCTCCCGCGAGTACAATACCGAGTCGCCCCTAATCTAATAACTCGCGCTCATCAACTCCGCTGAGCGAGCGAGAAGTCCCTCTCCCCGTTCATAATTAGGCGTTAGTTTACCCGATTCGCTCTTGGTCATTGCTCGAAGGAAAAATATCAAGTCTCACCCTCTGTCGATCGGCCCCCGACGCGTCTCCCTCTATGAAGGGGAACGAACGAGACTTTGGCACCCATTGCGCGCGATATGATCCGAGCTGACCGGGAATCCCGCGCTTCGGGCTCTGGGAATATTCCGAGACACTCAGCGGGCTCTCGGGACGGTTTTCGGAAATCGTAATCGCGGAGAAGACGGTCCTCCCGAACTTGTCCAACCGTCTCCCGTAAAAGATGTCCTTTATCCCGAGACTTACCTCGCACTCCACTTGCCCCGACGAGGTTCGCTCCTTCTCTCTCGGAGCGATGCGATAATCGTCCTCAATTTTTCACACAGTTCCACCGCGGCCAGGCACGGATCACAAAGGATGATGCATCGCTCCCTCCCTTCTTCCCTCGATGTCCCTCTTTTCGCGCGTCCTGCGCGCTTTCCTATTTTCTTTCCAGTTCCCCAGGCGTCGCGGTGTACATCTTTCTTTGTCCCCCTCGGTCTTGATCCTTTTGGCTAACGAGTTCAGCCGACCAAAACTCATAGAGGGAAACCGCGCGGAGGGGCCACACGATTCGCGGGAGTCGAAATCTCCGAAACTTTCCCCGGACGGCTTCTCGGACAGTCCGATGCTGTCAGTCGCGGTCTGGCCTCAGAATGTGGCGTCCAGTCCGGACGCGATCAAGGTGGCGAATTCTCGGTGGACGTTCCGAAGACTCTGAGTCAGCCTAGTCGCCAGCTCGTTTACTGCGTCGATAATTTCGTAAGTTCGCTCTCGCATGCACTCAATCCATCCATCCATCCATCCGTAAAAGGAGCTCTCATCGTGGGCGAAGCTTTTGCGAATCACGAGTCCTGGTATTCATTACAGCCGATACCGATGCAGTCGCCGATATCGAGAGTGACAGAAGCCATCGCCCTATGACAGTTCACGAGCTGATTGCCCGCCTGCCTGCTTGCGCGACTTCACCCGACTCGTCCATTGGCTCCCTCCAGGTCTCGCGGGCGCTTTTCTAAGCTCTTTCCATTCCATCCACTTTCGCTCGATCGCTCGGTGGTCACCGACCGGCCGACTATCGCAAACAACGAGGCGAGCCGAGCATCTAAGCAAAAGTCACCGCTCACCGAGGCGGCCCACTCCGTCTGCCTGTCGGTCTGTCGGTCGGTCAGTCTTTCGTTCGACCTGCCAGCCAGCCAAGCAGCCTAATAAAGCAATTCGTTTGACCCCAATCAGTCCGACCGGTTCGGTGGCTAACTCGTCGTTTGGTTGATTTGTTGGCGAGCGGACAGACGGCTCGGCGACCTGCTCCCCCTGTGGGATGCCGATAAGGTGGGGTGTCTGTCCGGTGGAGATACGAGTAGACAAAACGATTAAATACTGGCTATCTCAACTGATTCAGTTGGTGACCACGATCGAGTCCCCATCAGCTGTTGACCTCGAACAGCTCCTGTTGAGTCGGCCAACTGCTTCGGACGAGGCACGCGCGCACGAGCGAGCGATACCCGCGGCTATTCTCCTCTTTCTTTGTTGAAGTAAAAGTGTTTCGTTTTCCATCGCCGCCGGCGCCATCGCACCCGGGGGATGGATGTAGACGAGCGACCCCTCGAATTCTATCAGGCGTATCGGAGCGAAATTGCATTTTTCAACCTCATTCTCTGACGAAAAGACCTCTGCCCCCCGCGTAAGGAGAGCACGTAGATTCGATGATTACGTGCTTTGCTTTCTTCCCGGTAGGTAGTTACCGCAGGAAGCGCTACGCAAAACAGCGCCGACGTCCGTGGGCGTCGGCCGTAGGACCGTAACGACACTTTACTATTGGGCGAGGGAATCATCATCCGTCCGGTAGATAATTAATGTGAAAATCAAGGCTATTCCGAAAGGATCTTCCGGCATGAGTCTTTTCTCCTTCGGGCCTGCTCCTCGGTTCCGACTGCTCGAGCAGAATAAAAACTGAGGCCAGATCGGAGCAACAGATAATTTCGCTTCAAGTGAATCTGTTCCTCGGAGAGGAGAAGGAAGAGGAGAGCAAATGCGGGGAGAACGCCTAGCAGGACGAGAGCGGAAAGGGCAGCGAGAGGAATGAAGGCGATCCGATTTCTCGTGCGAGTTTTCTCCGAAAATGGAGATAGATGGAGTCGGGCGCGCATCACGCGATGTCTGTAGAATCTGTATGGGCAGCGGGACCGAGGAAAAAGGAGGAGGATTGATTTTTGTGTGAAGTATCTCAGGCAAGCAAATGCGATTACCCGCTCCTGAGGCCACCGATTCCACGCCACGGGACCTGACACATCAACAACGGCATCGACGATGCGACGGAGATCTATCGGCTGGACATTGTTTGAACTCCCAGGTTCATCGGAGCCCAGCGGCTCGTCGAGTCCAGTCTGGGAACGATTAGAGAAAAAAGGAAAATGAGAGAGTACCGTGTCAAATGAACGCACGGGAACGCGCATGGGCGATCGAATCCCCCGCCAGAGAAGTCTCACGACCATGAATAGCACGACGGACAACAAAGAATGAGCGGTCGGTCGTCGTAGTTGTCGATTGAGCCAAGCGAAAGAGCATCCATCTAGCGGACGGTGGGATGAGGGAATGAATATAAATATTTCTTGCTCCTTCCGCCACGGATCTCACATTCATATGGCAAGAACAAAACGCTCCACGTGCTCTTGGCTCCCTCTCGAAGGCTCACTCTCTACCGAATTCTCCCTCACGGACGCGCGCTCGTATGTGTATACTACTTACACCGGATGTAAGTTTGTATGTATGCTATCTCGAGAGTGCGTAATGCACTGCTTGCCCCGCGTTTTATTGCATAAATCTACCCCTTCTCTCTTCTTCAAGCGAGGCTATCCTCTCCTCAATCGCACACGGGGATGAGCCGGGTCTCGAACCGGAGCTTCTCTGCCGCCGCTTTTTTCTTCAATTTTCTTCGAGTCCCCTCAAGTTCGAATTCGAGATGGAAGAAAAATTGTGTAAACATAATATATCGATAATTTGCGGCGCCCAATAGTTTTCGAAACGACTCGAGCTCGCTCCCCCGAACGGCGCGGCGGCTCCTGAAACGGAAATTTGAATTTCTGGTCGGTACCGATTGCTGGATTCCGTCTTGAATGTCTGCTTCTCGGATGTGGACACTTCTCCTCACTATCTTATAATTGCGTGAAATAATCATCCGTCGTCGAACGCGGGGAGGGGGAGGGGGCGGAATGAAAACGCGATAGATACCGAAGGTGACTCGCCTGCACGCTCAATTAAATCTCACCGCTCGATCGCTATCGTGTTCCGCGTTTTCTGAGCTGCTCTCCGTTCTTCGGGATATCCAATACTCGAACACTAGAACCCCGTCATTACTCATCTCCACCAAACTTGTACCACGAGATTCGTCGTGGAGCTCGAGAAAAGAATGAGACATGCCCGTATACATTGGATTTCTCCGTGAGAACGCTTCTTCGAGAGAAACACAGAATCCTCATCTTCCGTTTTCATGTCCTAGGAGAGTATGTATATCGCGTGACGACCTTCGGACGGATCATCCACTCGGCTAACACATGATTGTCCTTTCAGGAGTGACTCGAATCGTCGTCCAGGAAGGACAACAAACAGACGTGCCGTGCATCACTGAGCATCCGGCGTTCAACAGAACTAATAATGTGCTTAAAGTTTGGTGGTTCCATCAGAAACCAGGACGATCCCTCATCAGCAATCCCTTCTACACGATCGATCTGAATACAAGCAATCAGGTAACTTTCAAGAAATCTATGGGAAAATTCTCGGATCTCTATTTACGACTCCAATCGCACTGACCACCGTCGAACGAGCCCACTCCCCACGGATCCGTCGAATGGGAGCTCCCCACGAGCTCACTCCTCACGAATCCGTCGAATGGGAGCTCCAAGAGAGGATCGGATTGTCGGTCGGCTTCCAATGACGTCGAATCCTTCCCATTGAGGGAACCAGGCGAGAAAAGTTAATTAGCAGCAGATGAGAGACGACTCATTGAGTCTGTTTGTCCTCAATTCAGGTCCTCCGTTGGTCCTCAGAGAAATGGACGACCCGAGCCTACTTCAGCTTGCTTTCGTATCCGTATTCGCTGAAATTGATTCGCTTGGAGCACGCTGACGCTGGCAGCTATGTCTGTCAAGTGCATTTCAAGGATGGCAGCGTGCGGAACGGTACCGTACATTTACAAGTAGTCGGTGAGTAGCCGCCCGGTGTACCGCTCCCCGCTTAAAACTATGGGCGCCCCAGAGCGGAGACCATCGAGTATTAGGGTCGAAAGCGTGCATCCCACCCCCACCAACGATTCGTCGAGGTAGAGGTCGAGGTCACTCTGGGAGCCCCTTTTCACTGTTTCGCCGTATTGCAGTTCCGCCCTCGCCACCGAAGATCTACAGTGAGACCAGTGAAGAAATTCAAAATGTTTTGGGTCCTCTGAACGAAACTTCGAAACTTGTGCTCGTCTGCAAGGTCAAAGGAGGTGAGGAGTCTTCCGAGAGCGGAGGATAAAACGAGTGACAGACCCAAGTTATCTCTCATTTTGTCCGGTCTCATTCCCTCCAACCGCTTTAGCTCTCGGTCACGCTTCTTAGCTGCCGGTTCCGTACAGTCGCGTGGGAGACGACATGTAATAATTCGAATGAGAACAAGAGTGCAATAAAGGATCTCATTTTGACGTTGAGTCCTCGGCGGCGCCCGCGGACCGCGTTGACCGACCGTGGGCATGGCCGCAGCCCTCGTAGAACATTTCAAACTCGTAGAACACTGTGCGGAAAAGGAGCTAGAGCGAAAAAACGAGGGACTTGTCCCGCACAATAGCTTGTGGCAGACGAGTGAGCTCATGAACGCGGTAGTTGTGCTTTCTCCGTCTCATTCCGGTGTCGTCCGGTCTCGAGTCGTCGCGGTAGTGGTGCGGGTAGCGGCAGACTGGGCTCATCCGAGGGACGCCGGGGGTGCGAGACAGGAGGGATCGGGGAATTATAATTGGGTCGACCACTGGTTCTTCGAGTATGTTGGTGAATAAATGAACAGATTGCCGGCTATACATACGAGAAAGAATCATGTGTGCATGCATAAGCCAGCGTTACAAGCATGAATTCGAAGATGGCACTAAGCGGGCTAACCGCGGGATGAAGATAACTGGCGTAGTTAAGCAAGTAGGCATCTCGTCTCGCCATTCCCCGGACAAACTTCCCGGCCTGGGATTTCCGGGACAGTTCTCCCGAGTCGATCGGGAGAAAGACGTATTGATCATTCGAACATCGATTACTCAAAGGTAAACCGGCCCCGAGCGTCACGTGGAAGCGTGCCGGAGGAGAAGTCGAGGGAAACGTGAGAACGACGAGGACCGGTGACATTACGACCTCGGTGCTGACTTTGGATCCACTCAGAAGAGAGCATCACAACGCCGACTTCATATGCGAATCTGCGAACGACGAGCTCGCCTACCACTCAGCACACGTCAGGCTCGAACTCAATCGTGAGTGATCAAGAATTCAAACCAAAGCACTATTTTTCCCCAAGAAACATTATTTTTCGGCAACAGGAAACAAATACTGCTAGTGGAGCTAATGATGAGCGGACGGAAAAATATGGAGTCGATCCCGCTGACCATCTGGGAGGGGAAGACAACTCCCTTGACTGAGGACGGAGTGGGGAGAAACTCGAAACCAGGGGAATAAGGAGCGCGGCTTTCAATCGCTTTCAGTGTCCCCGCTCTTGGTTCAAATCCGACGCAGTGACTCCGCTTTGAGCAGTGGTTATCACGCAGAGATCATCTGCGAGGTTTGGGGCAGTGTGCCTCCCGCTAAGGTTTCGTGGTGGAAAAACGGTGTGAACCTCGAACAGGATTTCGAACACACCAGTATGGGTGAGTCCGGATTCAAGTCACTCGCTCAATCGCCAGATCCTCGCTACGGCAGACAACCTATGGCCTCTTCTCACATCCCCTCTATTTTCAGATGGCAACTTGACAACTTCAGTGGTCCGCTTCCAACCCCGCGCTGAGGATAACGGCCAGTCCTTGGTCTGTCGAGCAGAAAATCCTCGGATGTCGGTCCTGGGAGTGCGTGAAGACCAGTGGGATCTCAACGTATATTGTGAGTTGTCTTGCCCTTTGCTCTGTACCTCGCAGCCTGTTCGTACCCGATCGGATGGCTCCGGCGAAAGACGAATTCAAAATAGAACGATCCTTAGAATTATCCGAATATTGAATTGAGGGATCCCGAGCCGAGAGAGACGACGATAATCGGGGGACAAAAATTCGGCAGAGTTCGACGTTCCGGAAACCACCTTTCCCTGATGCGTATTACGTTTCCGAGTTAGCGGCGGTTCGAGCAGTGGTTGAACGGGAGATGTACAATCCTAGCCTTGGGGGAAATAGGAGGTTCTTTTACTCGAGAACGGATGAGCTTATTTCGAAGCAACTCGGCTCCGCTCGACTCGTCTTCGGACGGTATCTCAGAACGACTAACTCGGTGTGGCTCTCCACTCCGCTCGTATACTGAGCGGCTCGTCGTATATTTAAGCGGAGAACCTCGTCCAAAGTTTAACGCTCCTCTCGGGCTTCTTGTTCCTGTTCCCTGTCCTCCGCCAATGCCGATCCGTGGCAAACCGCACAGTGCCCGCCGCACCAGCACTTGTAAAAGACAACAATTTGATGATTCTCCCAATCTCCCGCTAATGTTCACTCACGGGGCATGATGCGTCTTTCCAGATCGTCCTCACGTGAGGATTCAATTGGAATCCCCTGGCCAGAGTTCGATCACTGAGGGGACCGACATTTCTATAGCGTGCTTAGTGGACTCGAATCCTGCGCCTCACGGACCGTTGATCTGGAAGCATAACGAGCACAAGCTGTCTGTGGCGCCGGGATCCGGAATTTCGGCCAAGAGAAACCGCCTCCACATCAGGAATGTTCGCCACGCACACGCAGGAAACTATACCTGCGAGGTGTCCAATAACCAAGGCAATGGGGTGTCGTCGGCGCTCTACCTGAGAATAAAACGTAAGGCAACGTCCAGTCGCTTTGACAGTAACCGCGGACAGTCGACGCGACGGTTCTTCGGTTTCTTCCATTCAAGTGCCAGCGACCGGCGGCGTCCCTCAGTGGCACTATAAGGCTTACCGGCTATCGGCCCTTTATTATATCGTATTTTAGAAATTCGGCGCCTCTCTGACCGCATTCTCGCTCGGTGCCTCTGTTTTGAGATACATTCTGAAATTCCAAATTTCTGAGGGAAATGCTAAAACGAGATTCGGGCCGAACTGTCTCTTTCGAAGGTACGGTGTCCTGCCCCCCCTCCGGCGCCCAATGCCCATCGAACATGCTCGAAAGTTTAGAGTAACGAACTGATGTAAATTTTTCGGAGCTGCTTCTCCTCTGCCTTGACAATTCACATGTCTCTGAGCCCCAGTCGCATTCCCTTGGGAAGCTCCATTCTGTAGAGAAGAGTTTTCCGGGAGAACTTTCTCGCGATCCGCCCCGAAGCTAACGAAGTGAGAACAGATTGAGTATCCGAACAGCAGAACCGGCACCGCACGGAAGCGGACGCAGCGACCGTGAAATATGAGAAATAGCAGGAGAAGAGTAAAGGCGAAATGGGGTCGCTAAGACGTTGATTCTGCTCCGGGATGGGAGGCTTCACAATCGTTTCAAACAATTGAGCCGTGGTTTTCTCGGGATTCTACGGCTCCGTCGCAGACCGTCGATGAACTTTTGTGTGCTTTTCTTTTGGAATCCGCAGATGTACCGATGTGTCGACCACACCAGCGGGTCGTCTACCACACTCGGATCGGAGAAACGATCTCTGTGAGCTGTTCTGTATCATCACATCCGTCGTCAGTATCGTTTCGATGGAAACTCAACAGCACCTCGAACGAGGGCCGTGTCACCACGTTAGTAATTCGATTGTTCTTTTCCGAACGTACCGCATTGATCGAGCGCGGACTCTCCGTTTGCGGATACTTGATAGATTTAGTTGATTCCAATAATTCAGGGAGGGAGACCAGATTCTGGCTGCCGTTCGTGAATATTTGCTTTATCGCAGGTTCACTTGGGATGGCACCACGAGCGTGGCGCGGTTCACACCCCGTGATTCCGGAGATTTCGGAACGTTACTCTGCTGGGCGCGGAATCAGCTCGGGGATCAACGGGAACCCTGCGCGTTCATCATCCTAGACTCAGGTGAACGCTCCCGCGAATTTCATATCGAGAATCGATGATAATGATAATTATTTTATTATTATGAGTAGAAGTGTTGAATCTGATGAGCAGCTTCCTTTGACTCTGGGGATTTTCGCGAAAACCTGCTCGATTATCCCTTGGATTTCTCGTTCGTCTAAGAGCGGACCCTCCCCGTCATCGGAGTAAATAACGATTCGAAAACCCAGAACATCGACCGGGGAAATGGTTCCGAATGAAATCAAAGCGAACAATCGATTCGTGAGAGTTTCTTCGGATATCCGTCGAGACGTCGGAGGAAAAATTAAGTTTGGAGCTGTTCCTTTATTGAGGCAATGAAGAGGACGGAAGAGAAGGCTGTCCGCAACTCGCCAACAACTTGAACAAGCTTCCTAATCGAGGCGGGGAAACGATTCCCTGCAGACTATTAGAGCAGAACAGAGAAGCGCGAAGCCGAAATCTGATCGTCGATCGATCGGATCTCGCTGAAGGAGTAAGCGATAGATACTGGACTCCATTCCTTTGCGATTTCATTGAGTTTTGAATCGGGAGGCTATTACGTCCGCTGGGGGTGGGGGTCACCTACAGAATCGGGATCGACGCAATACGGTGATGCATTGCTAATTGACGATGCCAATGGAGTCCATCGTGACGGGCGATGCACCGGTGGTTCGGGTGGCTCTCTCCATCGTCGTCGACGGCAAAACCGAGCCGATCATTATCCCGCTTCAAAAGCTATTTTTCTTGTGCCCCTCAGATTCTCGTCTTGAGTTTTCTTCTCGCGGGACGGGGGCTTCACTAGAGTCGGGGCTCTGAGGCGGATGGGAAGGGAGAGAGAGCGAGAGAAAGAACCGACAACCGAGGAAGGGCCAGAGGGGGAGCCAGTCAGGGAGTAAGGATCGAGAAGTCGGAAATCGAGCCTCCTTCTTCTCGCCGACACTGCTCCCCCGCCCGGCCTTTAAAACGGTGCCGGACGGATCGATTTTTGATTCATTGCAGGAGCACGACTCAAGAGGTTGCGTCGTCAAATCCATCCTTTTCGTCTAGGTTGCCCATCCTGCTCGACTCTCGTCAGTTGATGCAGTCTGAGCGGGACGGCCTCTTGTTCTCTTTTTTTTAAACTGTGACATCTCCTTGCAGGGTCCCCGTGGTTGGCGGACGAGCTCACCATCGCGTCGGCACTGTGCGCTGCCCTAGTTCTCATGATTATCATATCGTTCATCATAATTTTGAAAAATCGTCGACGCGACGCAAATTATATCCAAGGTAGGGAAATCGGATTTGGATATTTGTGGGATTATTTCCGTCTGATCAGGAGAGAAACTCCAGGCCTACCTCCTCTGCGTCGGAGCTTTCGGATATGCATGAAAGTCGTCGGAATCTTCGAAGCCGCCGTTTTTCCAGAAGCCTGTGGGTCGGGACATCCCGCGAGTGTTCCGAAGGTTGGCAGCGGAGGTTGCAACAACAACCAGTTCAACGACGCAGCTTTCCTCACGTGAATTCGAGTTTCGCCATGCGGAATCATAGATGACATCAATGTGTACAGATAGATATGGGAAGTCAAACAATCAATCGGACGACGGAAGAAACAAACGCTGTCCCAAGGAAAGCCGCAAGGAGGCACGACGACGACGACGACGACGAGGGAATTCGCCATCTCCTGCTCCGGACCCGACCGAGCGATTCAGGTGAACTGCGAGGAGCAGGACGGAGTACCCTTTGCAAGTCAAATTGTAACTACCTCTACGAAGAGGAACGGCAATCAGAGACGTGTTCGAAAATGCGAGAAGGAAGACACTAGGAGAAAAGGAGAGAGTTCGATTGGGAGACACCTGGGAAAAGAACAGCGCGGACCGATGAAGTCGAACCATGTCCGTCGACTTCGAAATTCGACATACATCTCGTGAAGAACTCGAGAACGATGGAGGCCCAAAGCTAAGCTGTGAGGCCAGTTCTTATCCTCCGTGTTCTCCCCAAACTACTCGACAACAAAGCTCAAAGGTTCAACGATGATTTCGTACATAAATAATACGTATATGACTATATGCAGACTATTTCTCATTTTGAGTGATTCTTCGGAGACGAATATCATTTTCGAGCGAGCAATCAATTATTATAATTCCCTTGGCTCAGCGCTAACCTGATCATCGAAATCGTTCTGCTGGCATGAGGTTATGCTTTGACCCGCCATCTGAGTGCTCCTCAGTCTGGAATCATGATCAATGGAGACTGATCCAGTGCGCGACCATAATTCGAGAACTCGGGAGGGTGCTCGTCTACGGCGCACACACTTCAACTGTTGCGAGATTAGACTTCGAGATGTCTAAGACACTGGCTAGAGCTCAGCAGCCTCTGATTCTTCGGAATACGCCTACATGGTCGAGATTGAGAAGCGGCCGTGGATCCAAACTCGAAGCGACGTACGGAGACCCGATCGAATAATTGCAGAATGGATGTTAGCGAGATCAGTGATTCGATGAGCGCTAGAATCAGTAGTTCAGGATTCGTCCATTCGAACACTCGTGAACAGGGTGATTGTTCAGTTGATTGATTTCCCCGCTTGAGGGTTCGTGCGTGCGTGCGTGGTTGATTGACTGCTTGAGTAGGTAATGAGTGAATGAGAGGAAATCATAGATCGGTCACCATGAATCCGGTCACGGATACACGTAACGGATGAAGAACTACCTAGTCCGACGGCGTTTCATTCGTCGTCGAAATCGGAGCAGATTCATAGACACATTCCGAGAGGAGAAAGAACGCAGCATCGTTGAAAAGTTTTCTATCACTCTGAACCGGCGACAATCGACGCTCATGTGTACAGAGAGCTACACCTGTAAGCAGACACGACGTTCAGATGGTGAGGATGATGACGGGATTCGGAAGGTGTAGAAATGAAATGACACGAGAATGGAGCTGAACCCATCCCACGGTGACGAAAAAGTGGCCAAAGTATCCAGTTCTGAGTTCGAGAGCGTTTATTGATTCAATGACTTTCTCTAATCTTGGATCGAGTTTGTGTCAACATCGATCATTCCCATCAGCACATACCGCACATTTTCAGTCTCTAATCTATCTGAGCTCCTCCTGATCTCGCCCATCAGCGATCACATCATCGATTTTATTTTTCTTCCCTGCGCCTGAAGTCATCATTTCCGAACGCTTGGAAGCACATCCGTTGAGAAAGGGTGCCTCGCGATTTCCATCACAATGCTGGACATATCGGCAGTTTAGCCATTGTGAGATGTACCACGTCAATGAGTTGATGTCGCGCTCTCATGAAAATTGAGTGAATAAAGTACGTTAAATCATTTATCTGACATCTGAGAAGGAAAGAACAATGCGTTTTCCTTACTTCGTTCCCAGTCTTGAACGCATCCGACGTATATGGTCTCAGTCCACGTACAGATGTCGATTGTGAATCTTGCTCGACGAAAGGCTGGGTACGAGCAAGGGATATTGAGTCTCTCCGCAACTCGTCAGGCGATGCACAACAATGCTCGAGCATCGAGGGAAACGATCGACGATAGGAGCCGTACCTCCCAGTTTGCATAGCGGAATTTCCCGAGAGTCCGTTCCGATGTCAGCCGCTCCTTCTCCTACGATATCTCCGTCTTTTCCTCTGTCTGTTCCGGAGCAGCGCCGGCCGCCGACTCAGTCGGCTTAAAGTGCGCACCTAAAAAATTGGTTCCATCCCCACCCAAGGGTGCCATTATCTCTGTCGTGATTAGGAGGACGTTTTTATTTAGGGCAATTCACTTATCTCTGGAGATCTATCGAGCTCACCGATGTGTGAAGAGAGCGCTGCGTATTCGTCCTTGCATAGAGTTCGGCTTCCGTAACAGGCGGACGACGATACCGATCGAGTTTCCGCTCCCTGGAAACTGATTGATTCACCATGACACCCAGACTCTAGTCCCGTTTCTTGCGACTCGTCGAAGCTCGTCGTGCAAGAGCTCCCTTCCCCACTCGCAGGTCTCGGAATCCTCTATCGTTCTAGCGGTAGAACAATATTTGGCGTGGAATTGCAGGCAGTCGGTTGAATTGAACGGGACGCCCCGATGTGATCTCCGGATCTTCCTCTGTTTTTCGTATGCTCACCGCTTATCTACTGCTCCCATCGCAGCACTGAGTAAACGAAGTAGATATAGGGGAAAGGGGAAGGAAGAACAAGTTAGGGTACCGACGGAGACCAACCCTAGGTAGTGCAGCAGCGCTTCGTATGCGATTGTCGACCGGCCGGCAAAATTCTGAATGCCTACTGTTTGTCTCCGAAAAAAAATCGTATGTGTATAGTACGTGCGTTCTCCAAGTCGACAGGGCCCGGCACCTGTTGACCTCGATGAAAGATCGCCCGCTCTACGTATGTCGGTGGGAAGCACTTCATGCTGACGGCGAGTAGCGGTGCTCTCCGGAAACTTGGGAACCTCATAGTGGATATGACCGAGCATCGGGATGATAAGCGCTTGCATTCTATGGAGCTCGGTTTACTGCTCCACTCCGGTCTCGGTGGGTCCGGGCCATCGCTCAAAAATACACATTGGCGGACTGATGAGGAAGAATTAGTGTCTTGACGAAAAATGCTGAGGAAAGACCCCTCAACTTCACGCGACGATCCGGAACATGAGCTGACGAATCACACAAGGACCTAAGGCGCCAAGAGGCTTTCCGCTAAATCACTGATATGTTGGACTTTGGAGCTCGCGGGAATCCATCTATCCTAATGCGGCTGCAGATATCGACTGTCTCGACGGGAAACCGCGCTAGGACGCCAGACGAAACCTGTCGCAAACGTCTTCTGTTCATATCGCCTTTCCCCTATACCTTTGTGGACGGGACTGATACATGGATTGATTGGCGTCTTCCACGCCGAAGATAAGTGTTTTAGATAAGAAATGTCCCTAAAACCAGAGAGGGAGAGCCCGAGGAAAAGTGGACGACGACTGGAAGAGAGAGCCAGCGGGCTCGGGCAGGAAGATTGGGATTGGTGAGAGGAGAAGTAAATATAGCCGATGGAGGCTATACGGTTGAAGAACGGAGGAACCCGAAGGAACAGGCTCGTTCGATCCTCAGCGCTTAAGCCTTTGGTCCACCGAGACATCGTACGTAAACTTTTTTTCGTCAGAGGTGAGAGGCCTCGAAGAACGGATTAGACTGAGCGACTGGTCGAGTGGAAGAAGCCTTCAGAAGAGCGCTCGAGACGACGACTCCAGAGGGAAGAGCAGAGCTTGGCAGGGGAGAGGGTCTAGTGAATTCGAATCTTAGCGAAAGATGGAAGGCGAAGTTCTTCGGCGAGAGCGAGAAGAAACACACAAGGTTGATCTTTTCAGACCCCTGGACTTTTCGGATTCTTCATCCACCGGCAGTCTCTGTTCGCATCGAATTAAATCCTTCCCCAAAGTTCGCACTTCTGAAGTATACCAGCGGCTCACATTTCCAGTATACGATAATTCTTGCAGAGGCACCGCCCGGTCCCGGTCTCCCCCTTTTCTTCACCGTTTCGAAGTGTTGCAGGCGCTTGTTGAGAGCACTTGTCGAATCGGAGTGGGAGGAGAGAAAACTCAAAAGTGCCCGAGGAAGAGAAACGGAGAATCAATTAAGCCGAACCATTTTCCTGGAGTCACCCATTGATTCGAGGGGCTTCTCTTAGAAGCTCGTGGAATGATTTCGCGCGAGACAGATTGATCAGAGGAGAGAACGTCTCAGAGAGAAAAATAAGGACTCACGGATGAAAGAGGGCGTTCCTGAAATCCATAAATTTCCTCGTTCCGATTCAACGAGTCATCTTCGGCGTCTCCTCAGTGGTGAAGTGCTAGCGATCGAGCGAGGGAGCAACTATCGAGCAACTATTGACCCTGATGGTCGGGAGCGACTTGAACGAGCATTGTAAATTACGAGGTTGTATAAAACCCCCGATTCCGAGGCAGGGGACAAGAAATCCGATTGGAGAAGAAATCCGGGATGCGGAAGGACAGGAGTTGTCAACTCAAATCCGCAGCCGGGGCTGGTCAGAAGAGATCGATGTTCGTGGGAGCGAGTCAACACGCAAGATCTCTTTGCATCGCCGGATAGAGCGCAGTCCATCGTCCTTGGGCGCTCTATTCTGATCGTGAGTCTTGCGTCATGAATAGTACATGATCCCGACGGATTCCCGAGTCATTCCAAAAATTGCACAGCAGTGATGGCGAAAGTGTTCGGGGAATTTCCGCGAGAAGCCGACTGCTCATCTGGTGGTCTGCGTCGACGGTTGTTGGAAATCATTCGGAAAACGCTCAGGTTTCGATTCGGATGCCGGCTGTCGAAAATTCCCTTGCTTCTATGGTGTTTACTCGTCGATTCAGATGCCAAATAATTCACAAAAAGCATAATCCGGTTCCCGTGGTTCGATCACCGACGTATCGTTCAGTGTCATGAGGATGGAATGACCTACGTTACTATAACTTGCCGATAATAATTCATGGAAGGCTGGTGGAGGAATTCCGGTTCGATTCCCGCGAGGGGT